TAATCCGTGCACAGTTTCGCTGCCCGTAAAAGAGTGATCTGAGGCCAAGATTACTGCTGCAGATTGCTCCTGATCGCGTGCTCATCCTTCCTGGTTTATCGCCTTGCCAAATTGCATTACAGCTTGTCGGCACAATCGCACATAGGGCGGGTAGGGGGGGTGGAAGGAGAAAAACAAATAATATTAATAACGAAATAAAAAACCCTGATTACTAGGCTGTAGCCCGTGAAGGTATGTCTGACAGGCAGAACGAGGGAAAAGAAAAGAAGATTCGCTGCGTGTTTACCACGGTGTTGCGTGTTTACTGCGGTGCAGCGTGTTAACCTTATTGTGACCTTTGCATGTGCTCCGAAGCCCGTAATGCGACACTTTTGGGGTAAGTATGAGGGAGCCCCCCCACCCCACCCCACCCCACCAGTTAGCATGTAAGCAAACAGGCGGAGAAATAAATGACAAGAAGAGGCACAAGGCAAACTGGGCCACCGCTGAGAGCGGGGTCTGGATCGAGCCCCCAGCCAAGTAGCACACTGAAGGGCCAACATGGGCCTGTCTCAAGGGGGGCCTCCGGATCTCAAGCAGGACGTGGGAGCAGAGAGGTGGGGGCGCTGTGAAGGCGTGGTGTTCGGACCCTCCTTTCTGCTGGTCATCCATCCCCCAGTGTCCCCAGTGTCCCCTGCAGCCTCTCCTGTCTACCCAGCAGCCGCATGAGTGTCACCTCGTTACAGTGACTTGCATCCTTGTCTCTGGAGCCGCAGGTTCGAACCCCCCTTTAGTGTTTCACTGTGAAAAATTACATTTGGGGCTGCATGTGCTGGGGGGCACTCAGCCCGCCAATCAGACCAGCCCCGTCTCTACCGCTCGTATTCTGGGGCGGGGGGTGAAGGGGGCTTCCAGCTCATTGTAATGGCATTTTCTGTGAGAGGCCGAGCGTGTTTGGTGGGGCTGGTATACCCACTAACGCATTTCGGGGGGGGGCATCTGTGACTGTTGAGTCTATGTGTGTGTGAGAATGTCTGAGAGTCACTGTGAGGGTGTGAGGGTGTGAGTGAGAGTGTCTGAGGGTCACTGTGAGGGTGTGAGGGTGTAAGTGAGAGTGTCTGAGTGTCACTGTGAGAGTGTCTGAGAGTCACTGTGAGAGTGTGAGTGTGAGTGTCAGTATAAGTGTGTGTCAGTGTTATTCTGTTTGCTTGGTTTCCTGTCTCGGCCACCTGCTGTGTGCGTGAATGCCGATTGTTCAGAGTGCGTCTCCCGCCCTCACCACCCTCGGCCCCCAGTCGGCCAGCCCTCTGTCATGAGACACCTTGAGAGAGAGGGATCGTGACCCTGTGATGTCCCGGGTCCTCGGCCATTTCTGGCGGTATGGGGAGGGGGTTGGAGGCCTGAAACCGGAGACCCCTCCCAGAGAGTGTCCCGGCAGCGCCTCAGACAGAAGCTGACCCTCCCAAGACAAGGATAGGGTGACCTCATGCAAAAATCGGATCCCTGTTAAGGAAAAGTATGTGGAGTGCAGTTTTTTAAAGGAGCATCACCCATCCATCCATCCATCCATCCATTCCTTACACCCGCTTGTCCTGTGCCGGGTAGCAGGTGATTACCCTGGACAGGCTCTAAGGGAGTATCAGCGAGTGGGAAATACAGCTCACTGCAGTCACGTTTAACCCAATTAACGTGCCGGCTTGTCCCACATTCTTGGTGTTTCCACGGCGACTCCCTCAAATGGACTCCTCTGAAGATTCGGGGCGACACCCGTGACATTTACTTTGTGCCAGTAATATGCTGTGGCAGTAATACAATCCCCCCCAGTCATATTTAATAAATATATGTGTATAATTACCCAAATTAAGAGTGGGGTTTGCCTTGCACCCCAGGGGTGAGTGTGCAGAGCAGGCCGGTCTCAGTGAGTGATCCCCACCTGTCCTGACCTGACCCTGTGATTCCATCAGCGTAGGAGGCCAGAGTTGACCATTATTGTGCCTAGTGTAATTACAGCCTCTGGGGACTGGGGCTGACAGCTTCTCCTCCATCTCTACCTTTCTCACCCCATCCCTCTCTCCCTCTCTCTCCATCCCTCTCCCTCTCTCCCTCGTTGACTTTCAGGCCTCCTGTCCTCTTCTCACCCCCATCCCTCTCTCCCTGTCCCTCTCTCCCCCATCCCTCTCTCCCTGTCCTTCTCTCCCTCTCCCCCATCCCTCTCTCCCTCTCCCTCTCCCTCTCCCCCATCCCTCTATCCCAGTCTCTCCATCCCTCTCCCTCTCTCCCTCATTGACTTTCTGGCCTCCAGAACTCTTCTTGTCCCCATCCCTCTCTCCCTCTCCCCCTATCCCTCTCTCCCACTCTGTCTCATTTACTTTCAGGCCTCCTGTCCTCTTCTCACCCCCCATCAATGGCTCGCGTGGTGACTCTCCCTGTGGAGATATGGGGGGAACAATTGAGTGATGTGTTCAGGGTACTTAAGCATGAACAGGTCTGTCGTTTGGTGAGCAGCCCTGTTGTTTAGTGAGCAGGCCTGACGCTTGGTGAGCAGGCCTGCGGGTGGTGATCAGGCCTGTCGTTTGGTTAGCCGGCCTGTTGTTTGGTGAGCAGGCCTGTCGTTTGGTGAGCAGGCCTGTGGGTGATGAGCAGGCCTGTCGTTTGGTGAGCAGGCCTGTGGGTGATGAACAGGCCTGTCGTTTGGTGAGCAGGCCTGTTGTTCAGTGAGCAGGCCTGCGGGTGGCTACTTGCTGCTGTGTGATGTATGCCTCCTGAGGTAGCAGCAGAAACACTCAAATGTTACTGCTGCCATAAAGTAAATGTGGAAAGAATGAGTGAACAAAGGTTTAATAAAAGTACATACAGCCAAGAAACTATTTATTACTGCTTTATTAATGGTCAAAATACATTCGGAGTTATGTTAAGTAATTACAATGTAATGACCCTTAGAAAATGTGTGATTAATTACAGTGTAGTGTGTGTGTGTGTGTGTGTGTGTTTCTGGGATATTTGTGGATGGAAATGTATCCATGGTCTCATCTCTGCATCTTACCTGTACCTGAATACCTACTACTGCTGAACTTGTGCAGTGTGTCTCAAGTCATAAGGACTCACCAGTACTGTCTGTGTGTCAGTGTGTCTCAAGTCATAAGGACTCACCAGTACTGTCTGTGTGTCAGTGTGTCTCAAGTCATAAGGACTCACCAGTACTGTCT